GCACCTTTTGGACAATCGTGAGATGGCTGAGAATCTCCATAAACATTTTTAGACCATGAGTATTTAGAATAACAGAGTCGGAAGGGACCTTGGTGGTCTTCTAGTCCAACCCCCTGCCTAGGCAGGAAACCCTATACCATTTCAGACAAATAGCTATCCAACATCTTCTTAAAGACTTCCAGTGTTGGGGCATTCACAACTTCTGGAGGCAACTTCTGTTCCACTGATTATTAATTGTTCTAACTCTCAGTAAATTTCTCCTTAATTCTAAGTTGCTTCTCTCCTTGATTAGTTTCCATCTGTTGCTTCTTCTCCTGCCCTCAGGTGCTTTGGAGAATAGCTTGACTCCCTCTTCTTTGTGGCAACCCCTGAGATACTGGAACACTGCTATCCTGTCTCCCCTGGTCCTTCTTTCTATTAAACTAGACATACCCAGTTCCTGCAACTGTTCTTTATGTTTTAGCCTCCAGTCCTTTAATTCTCTTTGTTGCTCTTCTCTGCATTCTTTCTAGAGTCTCCACATCTTTTTTACATCGTGGCGACCAGAAGTTTCTTCTTAGATCTAGGTTTGTTCTCTCTTTAGTTAATTTCCATCTATTGTTTCTCGTCTTGCCTTCTGGTGCTTTGGAAAACAATTGGACTGACACCCCCTCCCCCCTGGTCTTTGTAGGAGCCCGTCAAATGTTGGAGCACTGCAATTACGTTGCCCTTAGTCCTTCTTTTCACTAGACAAATCCAATTCCTGTGTCCCAACTATGAAGAGTTTTACCTTCAACAAGTTTCTCAGACCTCTTTGTCCTTCTTCTCACATGGTCCTTATCATTGGAAGAAGCTAGTAGATTGAGAGAAGAAATGAATCATTTGCTGGAAAAAGAGACTAGTATTATTTCTTTGGAAATCTAATTCAGCAGGCTGCAATCCCTTTGTTTTTATACTGTACCTTGAGATTAGACTGTTGCCTTGAATTTGCCTAAATAGTCCAATGCTCAAAACATTGGTGTAGGACAGTGATGGCTAATCTTTTTTCCATTGTGTGCCAAAGGGGGGGGGGGAAGTGCAGGGTGTGTGTGTCATGCGTGGGTGTGCCCACACTCATAATTCTATGCGTTCGACACACACACACACACCCCGCGCGCAACCTTCCCTGAAGCCTCCGAAGGGAGAAATATGGCTCAATGTGCAAACCAGAAGTCAATTCCCAAATTTCTGGTTGGCACGTTGGTTTGTTTTTCACCCTCCGGAGGGGTTGGGTGGGGTGGGGGGTGGGGTGGGGCAGTTGCGCACTGGAGCTAACAGGGCAATGCCTTGCGTGCCCTAACAAATGGCTTCGCATGCCACCTGTGGCATGCGTGGCATAGGTTCGCCATCACAGATGTAGGAGATGACCAGGCTGAGATGGAGGGAGGAGTTAAAGGCAGTTGTCGGTTCCTAACCCGTTTATTACTGGTTCGCTGAGAGGGCGTTTCGTCACCACATGCCACACGGCCCATTCATCATGCCAGGTAATTGCAGGGCCCACGCAGAGGCTCTGGGAGGGCAAAAAATGGCCTTCCCAAAAGTCTGGAAATGGGCCAGTTTCTGGCCTCCGGAACCCAGGGGGAGGCCATTTTCACCCTCCTGGAGGCTTGGGGAAAGCCTCCAGAGCCCAGGGAGGGCGAAAATGCCCCTCCCTGCCGTGGTGTAGGAGGCCGAGTAGGCCATGCCCACTGTGGCCACACCCACCCAGCAACTGGGCAGAGAACCAGTCGCTAAAATTTTTCAATCCCACCCCGGGACCACCTGTAAATGTAGCAGTGAAAATTATGAGCTCAGTTGTGGCCATTAAGTAAAGGACTCCATGTACTCATCCGGATGGTTTTTTTTGGGGAGGAACACAAGTCACTGGTGGTGCTAAAGTCATGCGATCTACTTACTGTACATCCAGAAACATCCTTTGTTCTGGTCCTGCCAGTTGAGAATGTGGTCGAGCCAGGAACTCTGGAAGAAATCTGAGAATCCAGCTAGCGCACAAAACATAACTGTGAGGAGAGAAGATGCGGATTGGTTGATGATCTGGTTAGCGCAATTTGAGGATTAAGAGGCGGGGGGGAGGGAGATCTATTCCTTACAAGATTAAGAAAGGACTGGAAATTGCCCACTCATTTTGAAGAGGTCACTTACTGTGTGCATCCTAGACCAAGCTAAATCCAACAAGTCCTAGAGAATTCCTGGAAGCCCCTAGTTAATCCACCATCAATGAGCACATAGAGATAAATAACATTTACACAACATATGATCCCTGGTGGTGCAGTGGTTAGGATGCAGTACTGCAGGCTACGTGCAGGCTACCTGCAGACTGCCTGCTGCCTGCAATTGGCAGTTCGAATCTCACCAGGCTCAAAGTTGACTCAGCCTTTCATCTTTCTGAGGTCGGTAAAATAAAGACCCATATTGTTGGGGGCAAATATGCTGACTCTGTAAATTGCTTAGAGAGGGCTGTAAAAGCACTGTGAAGTGGTGTATAAGTCTAATTGCTATCGCTGTTGCTATTCCAAAGCGGAAATTTAAAAACCTAAGAAAGAAACAAATGGGCCACTCTACTAGCCAGCTAAAAATGGATTAATACCAGGATTAATACCAGCAGCAAAAAATCAAATAGTAACCCAATCAACCCATTCAAAGAACTACCAAGAAGAAAACAACAACAACACCCCCAACTCTGATAGGAAATAAATAATTGGAAATAAATAATCCCACTTCTTTCCAGCACTAATGACGTTACCTAGTTTTTGTGATCTGCCAGTAGAGTTGGGTTGGACAGAGTTGGACAGTGAGGAGGTTGGGGAGGAACATGGGCCAGTCCTGGAGGCTGGGGAAGGCTCGGACGACGGCTTTGCATCTGAGGCAGAGATGGGGCCAGGGCCATCTGTGAGTTATGTGCTGTCTCTGGAGCCTCTAAAGTGGGACATTAGCGAGGAAGAGGAACAGGGGAAGCCTGTTCCCAGTGTGCGCTTGCGCAGAGCTTCCAGAAAGCAAGAATAGTTAAGACAAAAGGGGCGACTCGGGAGTATGGCTTGAAGATGATTGGCCCCTCCCATAAGACATAAAGGAGGAGCAAAGGCACATGAGCCTTTGCAGAAAGCAACTTTGTTCATGCTGGTCGGTTTAAATTCTGAAGCTCTGTTTTGACTCTGTGCTCCATGTGGCCTTGCAAAGCTAATTTTATACAGAGAAATTAGGTCTTTGGCAGTGTTTCAAGGGAGATAAAGCTGGGTGCTTATCAGCCTTATCTTGAAGGACTTTGGCAGACTTCTGTCGGACTCTTTACAAACTATTTGTGACTCATTAAGGGCTGTGAATGAACATAATTCACAGCCATTGAAATAAAAAGAGGATTTTGGGGGTTAAATGTCTGCTTTTTACTGTATCAGGAAGCCTAGGTCAGAACACTAGTTGGGTAATGAAACGTTTGCAAGAAAACATCCAAGCTCAGAGAGCACCAAGGACCTCACAAATCACTTACTATTTTCTGTAAAGAGGTCTCCAAAAGTGTCGAACAGATTGTTCTTTTCGATATTGCGATTGGTTTGCATCATCAAATCACAGAAGACATTTTCATAGTACCCGGCATTTTGGAAGAGCGAATTAGGGCATGCTTGCTGGAGAGAGAAAGGTGGGAACATAAACAAAAGATGGGATAAAATATTGATTGATTGCTACATTCATCTTGCAACCTGAATGTTCTAGTAATATCACAAAGCAATTGATAGAAGAAAATTAACTATAAAGCTTTTCTAAAATGCTTTTAAAGCATGAAAGATCTGACTCAAAATACAAATTGCAAACATGACAATTGCAATTAAATTTCCTGCAGGTGAGGCTTCCAAATGTATGGCTTATACCAGTTGTTTTTTTTGGGGGGGTCAAATTTAAGATGTTGGGAAGTGTTTTATCAATGGTTAGATAATAAAAAAGGAAAATGGAAACAGAAGTACCAGTAGGTAAAAAGAAGAATAGAAAATATATCAAGCTAGAGATAAGAATAAAATAACCATTGTTAGTGCTAGTATTATGAGAATAACTATGTTTAATGTTAATATTGTATTTTTATTAGAAGATGTGTTAAGAAGGAACTATAGAGCTTTACAATGTTTTAAATATATTATAACTTACAGAAGAATGTTGCACAGAAATATTTGTACCCAGACGATACTCTGGTTATGGAAAGATGGAATGTTTATATTTTTTTTAATTGAAAATAAATAAAAAAACTTTTTTAAAAAAGATGTTGGACTCCAACTCCTAGAACTCCCCAGCCAGTCCTCTAAACTCTACACCTCCCTCCCCCCAAATATTTGTCCTTCAAGATCTTTGCAAATGGATTAAAGATCTCCCAAGCTTTCCTTCACTCTTCATCCAAGATGATCGTTCTAACCAGTGGTGGGATTCTAATAATTTAACAACCGGTTCTCTGCCCTAATAACCAGCTGGGTAAGCGTGGCTCGGTGGTCATGTGACTGGGTGGGTGGGGCCAACTCCATGTCACTCATGTCGATGGGCGCTTCGCCTTAGCTGTGACAATGTAATAAGAGTTAATTGAGAGGCAGTTTCTATAAGCAGGGCAATAAAGATTAGGCTAGAAACAACACCAGAATATTTCCTTCCTGCCTTCATTACAGGATTAGCCCTGGAAAGGGGAAGGAAACAAAATGAGATTTCTTCCAATAACCAGTTCTCTGAACTGCTTAGAAAGTTAACAACTGGTTCTCCTGAATAGGTGCGAGTTGGCTGAATCCCACCATTGGTTCTAACCACTTGGGCAACATGATCCAGAGTCATCTTGTATAAATTGGGCAACTAGAGACATTTGTTTAGTGAACAAACAAACAACACAGGCATTTTCTTACCATCTTGGCAAATAGAAAGTAAAAGAGTTGGTGGGAGAGCGAATAGCCGTTGCAATGAGTGTTTATCATGAGACTGGTGCAATTATCTGGAATCCAGCATTTGTCGGCGGAATCCCTGTTGGAAAGCAAGTTAGATAAGCACTAACACTACCGTATAGACATATACAGTGTTTCTCAACCTTGGCAACTTGAAGATGTCCGGACCTCAACTCCCAGAATTCCCCAGCCAGCGAATGCTGGCTGGGGAATTCT